CAGCTTAAATGAAGATAAGTGTTAATAACCTCGAGGGCATAAAAGTAAACAAAAAAGACTGAAGGAAAAGAACTAACATTTCAAAAGACAAGCAGCCATCTCCTCAAAGAAGAGATTAAAAAAAGCCAATAAAACATGAAAGATACTGATCCTCAGTGAATTCTTGTATATTAAAGGAAAACATATTTCTTTCATCAGCTAGCTGGACAACAAAAGACTGCCCACGCAGTGCTATCAAGGGCATGAGGAAATAAACACAGCCCTGTGCTGCTGGGGGGAAGAGAACTGTCTGTGCATTTGGCAATTTGACTCTTAGGATTAAATATAGTACCTCTTTGACGGGGCAAATCCATTTGAAGGAATTTATGAAAATATTTGGACTGTATTGCAAGACTGGAACAGCACAGGAGCCAAGTGCGTCAAAAGGAGCCTTCATAAAGATCGGTGTTGGTACTGGTGTGCCACAGCCACACGGCAGGGTGTCATGAGACCACACAGGTCTGTGTTCACCTGGAGACACTGTTCACCGCGCACTAAGGGGAAGAGGTTGGCTACAAGGTGGAAATGTTTAAAACTGGATCGTGTTGACGGTTGAACAGTTCTGTAAATTTACTTAAATGGTTGCATTCTTCAAAGAGCTGAGTTGCAGGGTATATGATTTATATACCAAAAGTTGTTTCTGTACAAAGTTAGCTACTAAATAGTACGTTAGAAATATCATTTTGTCTAAAACACACACACACACACACACACACACACAGGACACACCCCCAGTAACAACTGTGGTGCCCTGGGTAGAGGTGGTGGTTCTTCTCCATACTTTCCAGTTTACTGCAATGGGCTTTTACAGTCAGGGGTGGTGAGGGCTAGCTGAAGCACACCAGGTAAGAAACCTCTGTGTGAAGTTACTTAAGCCAACTTACCAACATCAAACATCGGAATGGCCACCTTAGTCTTTGCTCAGTTCTTTTTAGATAATTTGTCTAAACTCCGACCCTCTGGGCCAGCAGTGTCACATTTCACTAACTTTCCCTGGTTTAGATTTAGATTTATATTCCGGATACCTGTGTTACAAACAAGGCTGGGACTATACAGGTTTCTAGTTGGGACATATTTTAAGTCCTCCGCTGTAGCTCTGGCGGAGACTCCCAAGAGCCCTTTCTGCTCACATTCAGTTCCCATTGCAATCTTGGGATTGTATTATGTTAATGTCAAGTCTCCAGGGCCCCTCTTAGGGCTTTATTTCAAGTGACCTCATTTCGTGTCTTGCTTAGGCCATTACAGGTGGTTCTCAGTGAAGCCCAGGGGCCATTGCTTCTTCACGAGAACTCTTCAGGTAGCCTCTTGAATTAACACTTAGATAGGGGTATTTAGTTTTCTGGCTTCGGCCTGAAGCTAAAGTGTTATTGACTACAGTCCAGAAATGACTTCACCTATCCCTCCCCAGTGCAGTTATTCATCACCTGGCAACCGTTCTGCAGGGGCAAGAGGGACTGGGTGGATTGGAAGGTACTCAGGGGCTCCCGCTTGGGAGGGCTAGGGAAACATCATTTTGTGAACATGCTAAGCCCCAGATGTTGCCTGGAGGAACTTGAGATGAACAGCCACAGTGTTTGCAGTGTCCGGGCCAAGAAGAGCTCTGGGAAAAGCACGGAGCATCATCAAACCTGAGAACCCGTCAAAGAGTAATGAATTCTTCCCCGAAGCTTTCAGGATCCGCATTCATTTCACAACTCAAACTGTGAGCATCATCTAAAAACCCCAGAGATGGAGACAGCCAAGTGTTTATTGCCAAAGTAAAAGGAGAAAATTAAAAGTCCCCTCTTAAGCACAGCCACGGTGCCAGCTGCAGCTTGAGAACACAGTGAAGTCAGGCTTCTGCTGACTCGGGCTGCAGCAAGGAGCTGTGCCTCTGTTTCCCCATGAAACACAGGCCTGGGGCCACTGGCCAGTTCTTGAGACCTGTGTCAGCCTAAACCAGAAATATTATCAAAGAAGGAGAGATCAGACGCCAATCATATCAGCAGGCTTTATTATGGGAACAGTTCAGACTGTGAGGGGCATAGCCTACGTTCCCCTTCTACAGTTGGTTCAAGTTTTGTAACTCTCATTCTGTAAGTGAAAGCTCATGACATGTCTGTGAACAAACAAACAAGCAAACAACCCCCCCCCCCCCCCCCCCAAAGACGCTGTTATTGGAGACAGGACTCCTGACACCGGCAGTGGAGATGAGAAACTGCTCCCGGGAGCCGCTATTACAAGAGCTCCGTTGAGTCTTGCACAGGTAGAAGGCACACTGATGAAGGGGAAGGGCAGCCAAAAGCCAAGTAGAAGTTACATTTCCATGGGTAAACTGAGGAATCACCCAGGAAGAAAGAGCACGGCTGAGTCTGTTCTGAGAAGCCAAAGCAAGAACCCACAGGTTTTGCTTGGGAGCTGTGACTCTTGGGTCGGGTCCCAGCTTCTCATTCGGTCAGTATTACAGTGTTAGCTGTCCAACCCCGTCTCCTCTTCTGACAGTGGGGGTGCCACCGCACTGAACTGCTGGGAACACAGAACACGTCAAAACATACTGGAGAGACCCTGTGTGCTGTCTAACATAGAACAGCTAGCATTATCTGGGATTTCCCAGTTTTTGAAACACAAGGGGAAACAACCCTTAGATGGAGGCAGTGCGGGTTACCTGTAATGAACTGTGAAGGCTACTAAAAGAGCAGTGAAATCAGGCACAACAGCTCACAGGCCGGCTCTCTGGGTACCGTCTGGAGAGGGGAGAAAAGCCGTGGCTGCGAATGCCTGGTGAAGAGGAAGCTGCACAGGAGACGAGAGATAATGAGCTCTCTGGGTCTCCAGAGGAGCAGAGTGGCCACCACGCCCCAACCAGGCACAGTCCTGAGAGTTGATTTACTTAAGGACCACTGCCACAGAGTCGGCGAACCAGACCCTGGGAGAGCTTCTTGTCTAAATTTCAAAGGGAAGTCATGTTGATTTTCTTGTAAGAATGTGGTCCAGCCATCAATGGCCCCTAAGTAAGTGACCTCTGTTTATGATACAATTTACCAGCAGTCAAGACGCTGTACAGGTGAAAGAACTTGGGCTTCTACATCAGCACCAGAATGAGGCCATGAGGGGACCAGTGGAACCTGTGAAGAGGTTTGTGAACTCACATAAACTGTGTGTTGAATCCTGTTCTTTCAGAATTCAGGCTGGGTGGCAAATGGATGGATCTAGAAAACATCACATTGAGTGAGGTAGCCCAGACCCAGAAAGACAAATATCACATCTACTCACTCGTAAGTGGCTTTTAGACATAAAGCAAAGAAAAACCAGCCTACAATTCACAACCCCAGAGAACCTAGACAACAATGAGGACCCTAAGAGAGACATACATGGATCTAATCTACATGGGAAGTAGAAAAAGACAAGATCTCCTGAGTAAATTGGGAGTGTGGGGACCATGGGAGAGGGTAGAAAGGGAGGGAGGAGGAAGGGATGGGAGTAGAGGAAAATATATAGCTCAGAAAAAAAATAAAACAAACAAAAGAATTCAGGCTAGATAAACTTCTACTGGTACATTTTTAAAATGCTATATCTGACTTGGGGTCCAACTTAAGGACACCATAACAATGTCAGTCATTTTTGTTTGTGGCATATGTACGTAAACATGTCCGTGTGGATGTGTTCATGTGTGTGCATGCAGGCTAGAGATCTTCCTTAGTTGTTCTCTCCCTCACTTTATGAGATGGGGTCTCCCACCAAACCTGGACCTCAGTGACTTGGCAAGTCCCTGGGATCCTTCTGTTTCTGCCTCCCCAGCACTGGAATTACAGGTATGGACCACCATGCCTGACCTTTTATGTAGGTACTAGGGATCTCAGCTCAGATTCTCATGTTTACACGGTGAGCACTTTACCCAGTGAACCATCCCCAGCCCCTGATTTCAATAATTACTACGAGTTTAGGAAAATTCAACCACCCAAATTTATTTTGAACGCTGGGAAGCACATTGGGCCTTGTTCATTGCTTTTTCCATGAGAAATATCCTTGTTTATAAAAAATAATTGAATTACGTGTAAGTACTCAACATGTTCACATAATTTAATTGATGAATTATAATCCACATGGTTCTGGGTTTGTTTTGGAGAGAGAAGTTACGGGACTTGGATATTTGAAAGAATCTTGAAGACCATACAGGCACACTAAAGACATTCAACAGTTTGTCAAATGTTCTTAATGGCTGCTTATCTTCAGGCTCGAACTGGAAGAGGTCGTCATGGATTTACGTCCAGGTGGACTGAAATTAGTTATTCCCTTAAACATGTCAGACAACAGAAAAGACAGATTCTCAGCCAGTAAACAACCTGGCAGGAATGAAAAATCACTGACATACTTCTTCCAGCCCCGGATTCTGACAACTTATACCCCACAAGGGAATCAGAGAAGAGGGGGGTTTTGTTTTGTTCTGTTTGCTTTTGAGTAGCTTAATGTCTTAAGTTCTGTATAATTTAAACAGCACCACAGGAAAAACTCCCTGAGCAACTAACGGACATTATTTATTCTAATTCCTGTTTATATCAAGTCCAATATGACTGCCGGCTCTGGCTTTCCACCACAGAGAGAGAAAGAGAAAAAGAAAATTACTTTTAGGCTATTTACTCATACCACAGATTTCAATAGACCCAGCCTGATGTTACAGCCCAGGATGTTCCCGCTTTTGAATGAACAGTGTAGCTTTTTCCTTCCTCGCTCTCAGGCCACTTCCTGCCTCTTTTCTATCTTCCCTCTTTTGTTTCCTGGCTTCCTTCCTGCCTGGCCTCTTAAATAAGTGTACCCCTTAATGGCCTCTCTTTCTTAAATGCATATCCCCTCTGAGATACTGGGTAGAGGGAAGGCCATCATACATTATCAAGGAGCTTCCTCGCGGAGTGCACAGACCTCCAGACAGGGGAACAAGCCAGCCCCCAACACGACGGCATGAAAGCCATAAGACTGTCGTCCAAGGTAGCAATCTGTCCCTGCCCGAGTTCCAGGAAAAACACAGGCTCCTGACTAGAAAGCTATGCTCTCTTGCTCTAAACTGGAATGATTTCCAGATTCACTGATGCAAAGAGCATACGCCTTGCTGGGAAATGCAGTAAAAAGAGGTACGCTTTCAAATTACTCTAGTCTCCTGGGGCTCCCCCAAATCATTCTGACAGAGAGGAAGAGAGAAGTTGGCAGGTTTCAGCACATTAATAGCAAACGACAAATTAGTAACTACGTTCTTTAATCTTCAACATTCATAATTGCACAAAGTATCAGTGATCATTTAAATAATACATGTCAAATAATCTAATGAAGAAACTGGTAAAGCGGAATGTCAGGAAGCAACAGCGTCGGAGAGTAACACTGAGTGCAGATTCAGATCGCTCTCTGCCAACGGGGCAAAGTGCTGTGGAGAAGCACATGGACCATGCCAGCGAATGCAGTGAGGCTGACTAAGCCAGCTAAGCCAGCTTTGCACGGCCACACACTTCCCACCACTACCGTCCATTGGTGGGAATGCAGGAGGGAACGAGAGGAAACTGCCCTTTACTTTCAAATCAGAATTGGGTCAGGAGGTCTGCCCTCCTGACTAGCCCGTGTTAAAGCGGCAAACCAGAACTTTGTTGCCGAGGAAAATACTTTCCTTAGGAATGTCAAAGATGACTGAAAATCTTGTCCATGCTAGGGGAAAGTCGAATGTGGAAAAAATTGCATTTTTCTATCTATTCTGCAAAGAAAATAAAAAGCCAATGCATTTTGGCATTAGCAAAAGGCTGAACTAAGTTCTCAGGCAATAAATTTATGGGGAAACATGACAGGCTTCTCATTAAAGCTATGTGTACGTTGGCTGAGTTTTGTACAAGATTCTCGAATCTTGTGGAAAATTGGGCACGGCTTGACATCTGAACAATATCCCTGGTTTGTTTGATTTCTAAAGCATTGGAAAACGTTGCACTTTGGAAATCAAGTAGAGAAGAATAAACACATTCTGAAACAGAGCTGGGTTGACTGAGTTATTTTTCCATATGTCTCCATGAGATATTTATTACGTTTATTTCTCTTACAAACACAGCCCTCATGCTAGAAATACTGTGGGCGGGCCTTTTTCTCTTTTCCTTTTTCCTTTTTTTTTTCTTTAGTGGTTAGAAAATAGTACTGTTAAGGCAAATCTTACCAGCAGCAGTAACCACCTAAGCACAGGCAATTTTCAGTTGGCTTTTCAGAAGCTGGTTGCCATGACAAAGAGCACAATTTATTTCTTAGTCCCTTATCACAGCTCCGATCACAGACCATAAAAATTAACAGGGCTCTTCTTCCCATGCGCCTCATCCTTACCTGAGGTCTTTTGTTCCCGCAATTAAAGAGAATGGATGTCAGTCAGCTAGCAATTCAATTAATGCCAATTCAAAATTCCGGCCAGAACCAGAATCTATAATCACAGCCTCCTAATCACAGCTCAGTCGTGAGAATGAAAAGCAAGCAGGAAATTGCACTAATTACTCAATTAGACTAATACTGTATTTTTAAGCAAGGCCTTGAGGGGTTGTCAGCTCTGACAAAGGACTCCTGCGTCCTCCTCACCTGTGTGTTCCCCTTGTCTGAGAGGAGCTGATGCTCTCACGTGACTATGATTGCTCTCCATCTAACACAGCTGGACTCAAATTAGACAATGGGAAATTTTAATTGAAATAAGGCTCACGATGGAGGGGACCGCTGTGGTGGCCTTCCAGGGCTCTTAGCACAGCCCTGTAGGATGCTGGGACCTCGTACACTCGGGCCTCCTTCTGGTGTGAGGACAACTGAGCTTTCCTGGCCTCAGAAACCATTTAACAAGGGGATCATTTTGACAGAGCCTCTCTGATAAACCAGTAAGATGGAACTTTGCTCACAGACCCCTCAGCCTCAAATTCCCAGCAGAGCCTACACCACACAGAGCCTGCAGGCCACAGAGCCTGCAGCAAATGACTCAGCCAGCCACCTGGCCCAGTGTGGGGCCTGTGGGCTGCAGGCACCAAAAATCATCTGCACACCCCAGGGACAGGCGCCAAGGGCAGGCCCACCTGGAGAATCTTTCATGAAATCAACAGAGAATGAAAACGCTGGCCTGGAAGAACACACCAGCAGATGTGACTAAATTATTTACAAAACAACACTGCTTACAGACCAAACAGGCTGGGCCTTAGTTAACAGACAGTATCTTTCTTTTTTCCTATTCAATTTCAAAAGACATGAATATCCTGTAAACAATGGGGAGTGCACTAGAGCCGGTCAAGCCCCTGGTTTTTGTGGTCATCTGTCAAAATCCTTCCTGAGTGAAGGAAGGGGAAGCTGCAGACAGGAAGAGGTGGGCCTGGTCTGGCCCAGGTAGTGTGGCTTTTCTCTATAACAGTTCTGAAATGACCAAGTTGGGAGTGCTGGGGGTTCCAAAAGGAGGGGACATTTATTTGACTAAACGGCACAAGGTCTTCATTTCCAGGGTTTGCCTTGCAGGTGACCACTGTTGAGTGTGCGGGGGTTTGAGTGGCTAGCAGGACTCCCGGTAGGCAGGTTCTGGCCACTGCGGCCAGCAGGCACCTTCAAGTCTCTTCCGGCAGAGTTATTCTGGTTCATTCGGCCTGATGGGAGCAAAAAGAGAGGGACAGAGATGCAAGAAGGGTTCCAGGGACAATGGGCCAAGAACACTCTTAAGCTAGAGATGCTTAGTCTATGACCACTTTTATGCTAATGAAGCCTCCACAGAATCTACTGTGGGCCAGTGATGATCTATTTCTCATCCCTGAGATCAACTTGATGTTGGGGAAGGGGGAGGGGTGGAGAGAAGCCACACAGTCTACTTTTTTCCCCTTCACTATCCTCGACAAATCTGGACTGTCTCTCACTCCTTCCTTGGTAAAGATGGGTACACAGGGTGAGGGGAATTGTGGAGAGGGAAGAGAAAGCAGCAGGCAAAGGTAGAAGACAGAGCAGGTGTCTTCGGGTAGGCCTTTAAGCAAACCCAGAAGTAGAGAAGGAAGGGCAGACCTTCCAAGAAGGAATCTGGACGCCCATACTATGCCTCAGATACATGTTCTGTGGCTGACTCTCCACATTTGTCCTCAATGCCTAACTTTGCCATCACCGGTGACCCCTACTAGTACCTGTATCACACACAGAACCTCAAGTACTTTAAAAACAGGGATATAATGGTGCTTTTTCTGTGATGAGGGGACAGTCAAAGGTGCACAGGTCAAGCTCCACCAAAAACAAAGGTCCAGAATCTCTTACTGTGATTGCCTGTCAGCCCCTGGTCCGCTTCCAGATAACATTCTATCTTTTTTAAGTCTTCTGGGGTAAATCTCCACTTGTTCTCAGCTGGCAGGGGTGGCATTTTGGGGCTGGATCGCTTCCGGGCAGAACCAAGAGGGAGGGCCTGCTGGCAAGAAGCTGGCAGGGAACCAGTGACCAGTCCTTCTGGGAATTTCTGAGCTAAGACTTTCAGACCTAAGATGCAGGAGAGCATAAGAAAAAGCAGGATTAACATAGTGAGGCCCCAGCAACACTAGAGAGGCCTGTGTGTCTTCCTGCCCTTCATCACCAAGTCCTTCACTGCTGGATCAACACATAAACTAGAAATGTCAGCTGAGAATTCCATAGGAAATCTTCTGCTCGGGTTTAGCATTCTTACAGAACCCTGCAATAATGCTGTTATCTCAGGAATTAAAACCATGTGCTAGCTAGGCCTGGAGGCCATGCCTGCAACCCTAGCAGTCAGGATGCTGATGCAGGAAGATTAAGAGTTTGAGGCCAGCCTGGTCTATGGCACAAGATCCTGTCTCAAAAACCATCAAAGCTTCAAATCAACAAAACCTACAGTGAAGAAAATGAAACCCCCATCCCCCACCCCCGAAACAATCCCACACAGACGTGCTGACAGAAGTAGAGGACGTTTCGCAGGACCCCTGGATCCTTCAGACAGCACGGCTCTCTCTCTCTGCCCAAGCTAAGGTCCCACTCGTCACTGAGCACTGGCAGGGCTGCTGAGTGCAGAGAGGGATCTGTGAGGAGACGGAAGCTTTGCTCACCCCCAGAGAGCATGAAGAGGTTTTCAAAGCCGCGTTCACACATGGTGGTGGCCGCCTGGCTCGCCAGCCTCTCGTCATCGTCGTACATAATGATGATCTTGCCGTGAGCATTTTTCCGTGAGGTGAGTTAAGGTTTTGGAACTAGCACGACCTAAGTCCTGACAGCACGAGCCACACACTTTACACCTTCTAATTCTTTCACCTCACAGTACCGGAGAGGAAAGATTACAGCTTCCATTTGAGATTTCTATGTCCACACATCCACCGAAGGCTTCCTTACCATGATACAATAGAACCACCCGAAAGCCCACAATAAAGGGGCAGTTTAGGAAGTAGATCTGACAAGGAGATATTACATACTGTCAAAAATGGAGCTTACCAACAGCTTCCATTAGCATGGGAAATTACAGATGTGAATGACATCTGGTACAGTTTGACTTCAATTTTGTGAAGACAAATTTCACATACACATATAGAAAATAGAACAAAATATACCAGCATTGTGACAGGAGTTGCTACTCAATTATTTGATAACAGGATATTTTCTTTCTTTCTTTTTTAACATTTTCGGTTTTTCTACTTGTATGATTTTTATGACTGAAAAGAAAAACGGAAATATAAACATATTTACTCTTAAGTTCAATGTGGGCAAGCTTTCTAGAGGAGGTAGAGTCTTAGGACACATCCTGAACCTAGTGGTTTCTGGCACAGGGAGGCATAATTGAAAAGAATTTGTCTTAACAGTTAGGACACTCAGCAGCGGCTAGGAATCTGAAATCTAAAACATGCTAATCTGGTGAGTATCAAGGGTCCTTTGTAGTTTTCACACTAAGAACATGGTTCATGATAAGTTTGAGTCTTAAAATCCCAATAACATCCAACTCCTTAAAATGCAACAAAGGATACATACTCAAGTATGTCGTTTGAATAGGGGTTCATTGTCCTGGACAGAGTTGCAATTGGGTAACTGTAAGCTACAAGAGAAGAACAAGATTAGGAAGCCTAGAGCTCTCTTACAATCTGGCCCCACTTCCCAGCTGACGTACAGTCTAAGAGGTGAATATATATTTCAAAGTCAGTGAGCCATAAACCAAAATACACCTAAGTACTCCACGAAAGACATGAAGAGAGAAAGGGCACCATGAACAAAGGAGGAACGGCTTCCCTGCTCAGTGCACTGTGCGCTGGGCCTGTGAGCCCCAGAGAACACGGTCAGCCTCTCTCAGAGGACATGTGGTGCTCACTCCACGGGTTTCCCTGACGGCTGTGCTAGCGTCCCACTTCCTCTGGAACGAGCTAGGCCCTCTCCTGGGACCGAGGGGCTCCACTGCCCCTCTTCTTACCCCCGACAATGTGGCATTGCTGATAAGAGTCTCTGTCACGCACGTCTAGCAGCAGGAAGGGGCAGTCCGGATAAGGCTTGTCTTTACCACTGGGCTCTTCTTTTTTTACTAGCCCTTTGTCTACATCCAGTTCCCCAACGCCACTGATGACGCTGTAAGTGGAAAACAATAGGTCATCAGAAACTAGTCAGGGGTCAGAGGTTGAAAAGTCAAATGTGTCTCTTCAGAATGGGGAGATGAGGGTTCCTTGTCTTCTCAACGGGTACCCCCAGGAAAAACCAAATGGGCAGAGTGCCTCAGTTCTTTCCAGAAGGCAGAGGGCTGTGCGGATGCTACTCTACAACCCTGGACCCCAAGAAGGGGCTGGCATGGATTCACCATTACCCGCAGAGAATGCTAGAGGCAGAGGGGCAGAAAGTGTAGGGCACATGCTGCCTTCAGCTGCAAAGGTGACACTCACAAGGAGAGAGGCGACAGTTTTCTAATAGGATTAGAGTAAGGAGTAAGAAAACAGAATACATGGACAGAGAAAAAGGGTTGCAGGACAACAGAAATGCAAAATATTTTTATGTATATTAAGCACAATATAAAGTACCAATATTGTTTTATGTACTTCACATACGGTCTGGGACCATGTGAAGATATTCCAGTCAAACGTGGGCAGAATATAATGGCAGCCCCATAAGATGACTCTGCAGAGTGATGGGGAGCCATTTCAGTTTGTTAAAGTACACTCCTGATGCTCCATCATGGAAAAATCACCTAATGACACATTTCTCGGAACGTCCTATCATTAAGTGATGCGTGGATGTACTTACACATCGGCCTACCCAATGTGGACACTGAACCCTATTTTCAATAGTTATCTGCACTCACTTCCAATTTATACAGGATGATGATGAGCCTGAAGAGGCTTTTAGAGCTAGTGGCATTCATATAATGAGACAAGGGAAGAGATGGGATTGAAATAAGGGGTTCGTCACTGACAGCGCTGCTTCCATGGTCATTAAACATGAGCTGAGCTGCCACCTTAATGTCAGAAAGAAAACATGGCAGGACAGCAGAGGACTAAGAAGACCAGGGACCACGAACAAAACAGCCAAGGATTTGTAAGGACATGGTAAGGAGCCGCTCAGTCAGAGATCAGTGTGTTGCCTAACTCCTCTGCCATCGCAGGACTTCACTATCTGCATTTATATCCAGTAAACACTATGGCTCCACAGTGCATATTTCAATGAGGCAAAGGAGAAGAAAACCTATTTGATACAAACCTGCATCTCTGAGGAAGCACTGGTGGCCCATATCTCTTCTTTTTCAATCTGTGTGCACGTGCATGTGCACCTGGGTATGTATGTGTGTGTTTGCGTGTGTGCACACCTCCTGTTTGCAGGCACTCTCAGAGGTCAGAATTTGGTTTTGAGCTGCAATATGGAGACTGGGAACTGAACCCCAGGTCCTCTTCAAGAGCAACAAGCGCTCTTAACTGCTGAGCCATCTTTCCAGCCCCACCTATATCTTCTTTCTGTATCTATAAAAATGAATGCATTTTTATATAGCCCTTTCACAAACACAGCTATGAAAATGACAACAACCAACGATGGCACTTCTTTTGCTAGAAATTTCCCTGGCAGAAGTGTTTTGTGAGGAGATGGGATGGATACATGCTGAAAACCAGCACCAGTCTCACAATCCACAGCTAATATTTGTGAGAAGTAATGCATGGAGTAAGGTCCTTGTAAACAAAAACGATGAGCCAGGGCAGTTTCAGAATAAACTCCAGTGGCTATTGCCATTCTCCTCTATGCTTGTTCCATGCCGGGGCATTTTGTGGCGCTGAGTCTTTCTTATTCTATATAGGACAATATAAGCTTCAGCAGACAGGGCAAAATTCATACTCAGAATAGAAACATAGTACCTGAAAAAGCTAGACCCTAACTAGCCCACATGTAGAAGGGCTGAGAAGAAGGGAACCAATAAGTGGAAAATAATACACACCTGTTAACCCACTCTCACATTAGCTCAGTAAGAAGTGAAAAGGGCTCAGGTAACATTTAGATAAAAAGGAAGAATGTAAAGGGCTGGGATTAAGATGTAGGACGTCACTGCTGCCAGTTCTGTTTCAGGTACGTCAATCACTGAAATGGGCCAGAAGAACACAGAGTAAATGCTCGGATCCAACACAGGTACCTCTGGAGAGTGGAGCGACTGGAGTCCCCTGCTCCAGTGCTGTTGATGAACTGGACAGGACTGGGTGACTGCTCCCCAGGGCTCTCTTTTCCATTGGTCTTGGCAGCAATTTCAGCATCAGCCTCTGAAGTTGTAGAATCATTGTCTAAAATTTGCAACAAAGAAATACAGGGCAGGTTAAACAACTCAGTGGGTGTAGACGCTTGCCATCAAGTCTGATGACATGAGTTTGATCCCTGGAAACCACATAGTGAAAAGAGAGACTCAATTACCTCCACGTGTGCACTGCTGCACGCGTGTGCCCACTCACGCACACCCACACATAAATGCAGATCTTTAAAAAATTTAAAAAGAAGTAACCAAATGCAATCTCAGGATTGGAATTTACCTATTAGGTATCTCCACTGATACAAAGCAAAAAACAATTGTATCACTATTGATGAGTTATTATTCTAAAAGTTGTAACACAGGGAGCTCTCAAAATGCAGCAAAATAAACCCCAGGAGTTCCTCAAGACCCTTTCATATTGATACCAAGTGAAAGCTATTCCCTAAGATGTCATCTGTCCCCACCCCACCTCAGCTGAGGCCAGAACCCAGTGCCCTGAACTTGGTAGGCACGTGTTTTACCAGCGCTAAGCTCAAAGCCCCTGTCACTTTTTGGCTGTATTTATATTTGCTCTGCTGGTACAAAGAGGACAGTGAAAACTCTAGCACTCGGGAAACATCAGGAAGCGGCTCCACACTTATTAGCGGGCACAGTTTTCCCTGTTGCACATGCTCTCACAGTAAATACTAAAGAGTGTCCTCATAAAACAGTGATTAATCATTCCCATCACCTCTCACCTTGAACCGGTGTGGTGACTCACGGCTGCAATCTTAGCACTTGGGAGGCTGAGGTGAGAAGACTGAACTGTTTGAGCCAGTGAGTCCCAGGCCAGCCAGAGCTACAGGGTAAGACCCTAGCTTAGAAAGAAGAGCGAACTGATTCTCTAGGTGTTTGCCTTTGAGTAGTCTGTGTGATGCCAGGGTGGTTTTCTAGATACCCATGCACGAGGAAATGTCAGGGGTAAGGATTAGAATGCTTGCTAGGCTGTGGCAGAGCCAGACATTTTTGCTGCAGGCATCTCTTCTTTGCAAGAAAATCTGGGTCCTTACTTGCGTATTTGGAGACGTGTCTCAATGATGAATTGAGGGAGAATTCTTTTAAAGAAAACAGTTGATGGTATTTCTTGTCAGTGGCTAAATTTTGAAGAAAACCCAGACTTTTGGAATCTGTGTTTGGCACCTGGAGGTGAAGTATGAAGAGCCCTCCCAGCACACATTGGACACATCTGATTTCCATGTCAGTCAAATGACATTGGACAAACAAGCAGTGCACGGCGTGAGGCTGCGCACAGGCAGGAGAGGCACTGAAAGCATGAGGCCGACCCAAGGGCTTTAACACAACAGAGTGTAACAGTCCACTGAAGTGGGTCAGAAGCCAGACGCAGCAAACCCTTAAGAAACAACTGGCCAAGCAGGTTGGCCATGCCTGTGATCAGCAGGAGGACTGGGAGTTTGAAGCTAGGCTAGAAAGAAGGGAAAGGATGGAGAATAAGGAAGGAAAGAAGGAAGGGGAGGGGGAGCAAAGAGAAGGAAGAAAGGGAAAGAGGGAGAGAGGATGAACCAGCTGATGGGTTTTACGTAGTATCAAAAGAAGTAGAAACAGCTGACTGAAAGGGTTAGTGAAATACCCCTCCCTCTCCCAACTAACTACAGGTCCATGTGAGTCAGATTTGCTTCACAGACTTCAACCCAAACAGCACATTGCACTGACTGAAAGCAAAAAGCAGATATCAGAATCAGCTGTTGTCTATTAAAACAGACATGAAAGACACTTACAAAATACTCAAAGCCACTTGGTAAAATTCTGGGTTGGAAATTTAATGATTTTTTTTAAAATATAAAAGTATGTTTTTATGGGTTGGGAATAAAATTCAGTGGAAGAGCTTGTGTTTAGTATGCACACAGTCCTGGGTGTGAGCCCCAGTAAACCCCGCCCTCCCTGCACTGTTTTTGTTTGTGATGGGATTACGACTGGTATTTTTATATTTGGCAATAAATATTGCTTAAATTCTCAGGTTAAAATTTAAACATACCTGGCTGGGTAGTGGCAGTGCATGCTTTTAATCCCAGCATTCAGGAGGTAGAGGCAGGAGGAACTATGTGAGTTCGAGGTCAGCCTGATCTACAGAGAGAGTTCCGGGACAGCCATGGCGACACAGAGAAACCCTTTCTTGAAAAACAAACAAAACTGGTTTTTAATATACTAAATTTGAATAAATACAGTTCACATATACCAAAGCTCTTTAGGTCTTCAATAATCTCTAAGAATATAGAATGGGAATGAAACAATGACATTAGGGGATTTTCTGTTCTAACAAATGCAGTGAAAGAAGAAATAGAGGAGGATTAACTACTAAAAAAGACTAAAATTTAATTTGTATATGATATAATATGCCTAAAACTTCAAACAAATACTAGGATGACATGGACAAACAAACCTGAGGTTATGATTTAAATGCTAATAACCATACAGAACATCTTTCTTATACACTGATTAGAAAACATGGAAAGATCTCATTTACTATAACTGCAGTGATTAAACATTCCCTAGAAATATAACTATAACTATAAAGATCTATTCAAACCCTTTAGGCCCCTTAGTCTCATGCAAAATTTTATTCTGGGTCTCAATGAAGCCCTCAACAAAGAGGTACCACTTCTGGCATGTTCCTGATTGACTGCCCTCCAGCCAAACATGTCAGTCCTTAATTCTGGTCTCATTAATTAATTATAAATAAGCAAAGAGTTCTTTCTCATCATTTTCAGTATTATATTTGTTACTGTTGTATAAAGATATAAATTATCCATAGTGCCCACAAAATCAATAAGAAAAAAAGATGGGCATTTTTTAGAAAAACAAAATAGGAAACAACATACAAAAATATTTTTAAAAGGCAGAGGCCCAGTAAATGAATGTATATGGGGACATGCACATGCATATATACACAGCTCAATTTAATTATCAAAGGAATTAAAAAATAAAATGATTAGATACAATTTTTTTATCCATCGCACGAGCAAGTAGTTTCTAAGGGGTATTTATTCCATTTTAGCAGGAAGGTGTTCCTGACAGGAATGCATGTAGGTCACAGCCACATCGTGATGGTGTGGGAGTGGTTTCACCTTCGACCATCTGTAGCGACTGGACTGCAAGGAACAATGAGACTCACATGCCTGTTTACATGTACAACGTGGTGTTATTTCATCACAGTGACACAGCACACAAAAACCGCCATGCTCAACAGTAGGATAGTTAAGATATGTCCCAAAGATAGATATATATACAAGAACACAATTTTTAAAGTCATGTTTTTGAAGTCTGTTTAATGACATTGGAAAATATGCATGAAAAGATGTTAATTTAGAGCTGCACAGAGCAAAGCTGCACACAGAGAGCATGCATTGTAAGGGGGAAGATGCAGAAAAATGGACCCAAATATTGACACTCATTATTATCATTTTCTTCTTTATATATTTTTACTATCCTGAGACATTTTTAAGTGAGGAAAAAGCATTAACATTGTAAAAGGAGGGTTTTGCATTCTTCAAGGTAACCAACAAATGTTCAGACACAGCTTGTTCTGAAGCACTCCTGACTGAGCTGCTATCTGTGTGGAGCCCTAGAAAAACACTAATGTTACTCTCACATTATGGCATCCTATTTTACAAGAGCCTATTTTGCTGTGCAAATTTATCTCAGAGGAGAAAATTGCATGTGTGCATATGTTCTGGAACAGCAATCTCAACAATGAATTAAAGGCCAAGTCTAGGTGCTCCTGTATCCCGGTTAAAATTGGGAGCGCTTGTATGAGGAGACTCAATTACCTCTGTTACAATGAACCCTTCTTTCTCTGCCGGGTGAGAGGCATCTGTGAAAGATAAATTCCTGTCGTTTTCAGATTCTCTTTATCCTCCCTAACAAAAACCAGCCCAGTAAAATGACAGCTGAGTTGCACAAAACCAGTGTGCTCAGACTTCCTGAGAACCTTGTCTTGAAATCAGAAGTTAAATTCCTGGCCTACATCAACCTTAACAAACACATTCCTCTTTAGTAAACAGGCACACATTGATTGCAGGGTACTTTAGGATAAAATCAAGACCCGAAGTCTGTGTATTCCTTTCATGAGTGTACAACTAAACGGGTTTTGTTTTGCAGTTGGTATTTAAGCAAGGAAATCTGGAGCCTGCTTATCTTTCTGGCCTTATCTTCCATCCAGTGTCTACTCCTCCCTGAAGACCAAAACCAGCCTGGATTACCAGATTCCTGGCATACACACTGTCCTTTCATGTCCATGCCTTGCTTAGGCTCCTCTCCCCCATAACTGTGCCTGCCCCTTTGAGGCCTACCTAGTTCAGATACCTTCAGGAAGCCTGGTTCGGTTTAACTGGAAAACATCCTTCCTTCCTGAGAACTCCCGTGGCATCTCACGTATCTTCAAAGGAACTCTGCAGAGTCCCTTGGTGATACAATGAGAAGAATGCTACAGGAGATTTAGAGTGGAATCCCAGGTCCACTCTTTACTAGATATGCCAATGGGGGCTTCTCCTGATGCTCGGGCTTCTCATCTCTGAAATGTACCTTCCTTCCTTCCCATTTTTGAGAATATTAAACAATAAAATTCGTGTGTAACAAATGATTGCTGCCTTCCAGCAATGACTCCTATCACATGTAACTTTCAGCACTGTAGCATTCTCCCATCACACACACACACACACACACACACACACACACACACACCTACAAACCCCATGGGAGCAGAGGTGTTTTCTCAGCTTTCTAGTCTCTTACCACTGACTTCTGTAACCTATGCATATGCACAAGACATTAGAAATATTTTCTGGAAAAAAAGGAAGTCGTATATTCAAACATCTAAAACATTGAAATTGTGTGTCAGAAAATACGTTTTTTTTTTTTTTTTTTTAAGAAATGAGAATAATTAGGGCACCAGATAGCATTTCTCTGTGAGTAACTGACTGCAAACAGCTGTATCAATGGCCCAATTCCCTGTAAACACACCAATACACGTACAGGGTGAGGACTTTCACCACTGGCCGACCTGCTAGTGTCCGACATCCTCAATTCTTATTACCTTCAAGCCTTTGAATCTCCTCAGCTGTCACTTCCAGTGTTTGATCTGACAGGGAAGCAACTTGAATGACCTGACAGAAAAGAACGAAACGTGTTGATGTGCACATAGTTCCATTTTAAACACAGGCGGTTCTGTCTTCTAAAAAAGACTGGGCAACTCCAAACATCAAAGCCATCTTGTTTGAAGCAGCTGTAGTATCCTGACTGGCAAATCTTACTGATTTCGGGCCTCCTAATCATTAGGGTGCTAATTACACCATGAATGAATGTTCCAGAAAAAAACAAAACAAAACAGAAACTCACTCAAAACTTTACACACAAACGGCACGAGAAATAAACAAGTAAAGACGCATCATAGTATCAATAGAGAAACCCCAGGGATCAGTTCAGATGGGAGACATGATAAGAGTTTACATGTATAGAGACGGAGTCAGCACAGCATAGTGTTACTTGAAAACACTATGGTGTGGACAGGTCTCCATACGATTGGGAAATAAAGGGAATTATGAATATGCTGATTACAGATTGTCTGTCTTAACACAGTGATGATTTTTAAAGCATTGTCCATAGAGCCCAAAATCTAACTTGCGTCAAGGAACCTCTTGTTTGGGAGTCACAGAGACACCTTGTCCATTATTTTTTAGTGAAGGGAGAAAATGCCTTGCTTGAAGTAAAGAAATAGCTCACAGCAGAGCAGTTCAGAAAGTTCAGAGACACAAAAGGAGTCATTTGTTTAAAAAAAAAAATTCAATCTAGAATTGAAAATGTTAAATTCTAAATGTTAAGTGAACAAAGTATAATAAAAATCTAAATCACAACTCTGAACATTAAAAATAGAATGCAGATGTATTTATTTCATGGAACCCCTATTAAAGAGTAAAGGTTCATGCCATCCTTTTGTGAACATCACCCCCATAGACACCAATTCATCCCCTTATGGTGAAATAGGAAGGGCCAGAAGCTTCTCCTTGCAAGAAGACCCCGAGATGCCCAGAATGCTCATGTAGAGCAGTACAGACTCGCCTTTAGCCCAATAAAAGATCAGCAAACTTACCAGCTGGGCAAAGGTGGTAACTTTCAGTCTCTTGAAAAGTTCGTCTTTTTTGTATCTGTAATCTGAAAAAGCAGAATACAACACACACTTGTGAGGGTTCACTGTGGGCTCTGGGCTATTCGTTCTAGTTATCAAGTTCTATGGTGTCACTTTCAAGTTCTGAGTGTGCTTTCATACAAGATCTGATCTTCGAAGGGTGCTCAAGGAGGCAAGGTGGGGTTTTCAGCGCACCCCTGTGCTTGGCCACCTGGGGAGCTCTCCTTCCACTAAGTTGTCTCCACTATGGCCATACTGTGTGGCGTGTGTTCGTGGGAGCTGCCTCAAGTCCTTTTTAGAACAAAGGAAGGGATAACTGTCTACATTTAACAGAGGATGATGGAGACTTGGAGTTGCCTCGGGCCACACAGCTGGTGAGGCGTCTCTACCCTGCTCTTCTGACTCTGACTTCAATGACAGGGATTGTTTTCCCTGTGGTTGTAAACTGTGCCAGAGACAGGAGACATCGTGTGTGTGTGTGTGTGTGTGTGTGTGTGTGTGTGTGTGCTGGGTGTGTGCGTGCGTGCGTGCGTGTGCGTGTGTGTGTGTGCTGGGTGTGTGTGTGTGCGTGCGTGTGCGTGTGTGTGTGTGCTGGGTGTGTGTGTGTGTGCTGGGTGTGTGTGTGTGCTGGGTGTGTGTGTGTGTGTGTGCGTGCGTGTGCGCGTGTGTGTGTGTGTGTGCTGGGTGTGTGTGTGTGCGTGCTGGGTGTGTGTGTGTGCTCGGTGTGAGGTGATGATTGGGCCGCATGACTTGGTGAGTGTTTCTTTAAAGACTCAAGTCAGCCAGCTTTCCATGAGGACGGTTCTGGAGGCCGCTGCACAACAGGACACACAGCACAACTGTAGAAACTGCGCACTTAAAAACGGGTTGGTGGTAAATTATGTTTTTACCAAAATGAAAATAAAATCAAATAAAAACCAGACTAAATAATGTGTATTCACTCAGCATCATCTTTATAGTTTTGAAAGATAACTCAAATGTGTGTGTGTGTGTGTGTGTGGGGTGCTTCTACAGTTATAGCAATGGCTCTTTGCTGTTTTTGGTTTTTGTTTTTTGAGACAGGGTTTCTCTGTGTAGCCCTGGCTGTCCTGGAACTCGTTCTGTAGACCAGGCTGGCCTCGAACTCAGAGATCTGCCTGCTTTTGCCTTGTGAGTGCTGGTACTGAAGATGTGCACCACCACTGACCATCAATAGCTCTTTGTATGAGTCAGGCATGCTAGAACATTCTGTAATCCCAGTAACTGGGAGGCAGAGACAGGAGTTCCCAAGATCAAGACCAGCCTGAAAGAATAGCAAGATCTTGTCTTCACACAAAGAAAAAGATATCTTCAGAACACATCGGACAAACATTAAAAACCAGACAATCTCACTTTCCAATATCTGCTCTGAAGATTCTCCCCAGAAGCTCACTTCCTGAAAATTTTCTAACAATGATGCTAATTTTAAAGCTTGCATTGTTGAACTCTGCCCGCCTTTATCCTTCCTTCCTGTTCATGGTTTTTATACTGGTGCCCAGGGCTCCTTAAAGACTGCCTCATTATTTAAGAATTACTAAAGGTTAGCTGGATAATTGCCACGGCCTTCACAGAATGTCTCATACATCAAGACTCCTAGCAACAAAGGAAAGGATTAAAGGTGTTTAAGATTATTTACTTGGTGTTACTAATCAGTTCCATGAATTCCCCAAAAAACTCATCACAAACTGGATGGTTACTTTGGAGGTTAATCTAAGCTTGATTTACCAAATATTTTAATAATTAGAGTCAGGAAATAATAATACCTTAAAAACTAACCATCTGTTAAATATATTACAGCTCTTTCTTGCAGGGAATTAAAACTCTGTTTTAAAATGTCTTGAAGAGAGCAATTTGGCAAGTAAATTATTATTTCTAGAAAGTTCTTAGAGTAGCTTCTACTGAATAAAGTAAGTTAATAAATGTGCCTGGCTGCACACCCCAGCAGGCTTAGTAGGGCCCTCCCAAGAACAAGGGAACTGCTATAGTAGTGCCCTCAACACCAGCCTGCCCACCTAAAGAAATTTTTTGTAAACTAAAATAGCGATAAATTAGACAATAAAAAAGCCAATAGCTTTCAAAGAGCTTGTATTTTGACATCTATCCATTGGTATTTCTTTGGTATTGTTACATAGCTTGAAATACCTGTAAGTTAAACATGTGCACACTAAAATCCCCTGTGGCTAAACAGAGATGGTACCACACAAATAGCAAGCTTTGCTGTAGCATGTAGAATATCTTTTGGACAAGCCCTCGGAACCCACCACATATTGCAGCCTGGGCACAACATACCTGGTTCTGGTTTAGGAGGAGAGCCATCCGTAGGACTTTCTGACATTATTGCTCAGAGATAAAAGATCAAGCCAAAGTCTTATGTGGAGTTTTAAGTTGTATAAAAAAAGACGAATTGGACAACTTTGTCCGTCTGTCCTCGCAAGAGCGAACACAGCTTTAAGAATGGAGCTTCTACTACTTGGGCTCCTCTCGGACTCTGCAGGAGACAGACTATCCCAGCTCAGACACACTGTCAAGCTTGGCTTCTCCAGTGAGTCCAGGGGCTGAGTTGGCCTCTCTTGAGTTACTGGCAGGACAGAGACCTGACTATCTAGGATGTCTCACACTAGGTCCAACTGGTGTCATCTAACCCCCAGGTCCCAAGAATAGGCTTTGTCGGTGGTCAATAGCAGAGAGCATCGCTTTCCCCAGGTACAGTGCAAAGAATGTTCAGCTCACAAAGGACTTCTGCATTTCCAGGGCTCTGTTAGAATGTGCTATTAGCAAAGAAAAGGAGGTTGAACTTACAGAGGAAGACAGATAAAAGAAAGTAACAGAACAAGGTTTGTGACTTCACAGACAGACGTGGCATCTGAGGTGAGGCCAGCAGAGAGCTGGGTCTAGGATGACAAGAGACAAAGCAGCGTTCTCTTCCACGCAGACCGAGAGAACACTTGCAACAGAAAGTGGGGCGGGGCAGCTTCTGAAATGCAGGCACCAAACCAGAGTCTAAAGTGTTTCTTTGGGGATGAGCACAAAGCATAGATGGAGGCGAGAGGAAGCCCACGACTTCTAAGGAAGGAAGGAAGGAATATGTTCAAGGATTCAGTTCCAAGAACGGTTCTATGCGGGAGATAGTCTCTATTAAAGTTTAGAGGCTCTGGAAGCCACATTGTACTCTTAATAAATGTTTAAAGTAAGGTTTAGATGATCTGAACGGACTAGATCCTGGTATGGACATGTGAGCTGACACCTCGCTTCAAATGGAAGGGAGCTAAAAGAGGCCACAGACCCAAACTGAAGCAGGCCATGTGCTGAGAACGACAGCAGTATAGGTGAGTGAACAAGATTTCGTTCATAGTTCAGAAATTTAACATGTATATATTAAGATAGATAACTGACACCATGCAAAATGAAAAAGAATGATCTGGTGACATTGTATTTATTATTTAATATTGAATATATAATCTAGGATGTCTATAGACCTGGGTCTTCTAGTCGGCTGCAGCAAATAAAGAGGGTAGAAAGCTGCCCCAAGGCCGCATCTACTGTGGGTTTCCCTATACAGCACAATTCAAATGGGACACCATCTTTTTAACTTAAAAAGGTCTGTTGTGTCAAAAAAAAAAAAGTTCTGATGTATTTCAGAATTGTAATTTCTTTCCCAAGAAGATGCATATTCGCAGAGTCAAATCCTGAGCTGGGTAAGAGAGCCTCTTCCTATCAGCCAAATACCCTGGCCCTGACTTCTCTAGAAAACATCTTCTTTAATTCTGGCCTCAGCATGTACATTTCCTATCGACTGGTTTTGGATACAGATTAAAAAAACAACGATTCTCTGTGAGGGCAATGCATTCAGTTACCAGCCAGATAGCTCTGCAGAAGATTAGCTTCTAAAGGGATCTGCATGAAATATGGTTTTTAATTAAAAGAAAACAGACTGCAATGAATGGCTAATGTGGAGCACTGAGGACAAGTCGGCTTCCCCAGACCTCCTAGTCCTTCACGAACATTCGCCAATGAATACTTATAAGACCATTATGAATAGAGCTATGTATTACCCTATCTCAGGTATGGACCAAATAAGATTACTGAGCACTAGAATAAAAGACCAGAACCACTGCAGTATGACGGAACCAGAAGCCTGGGTTCTAACATGAAAATTTCCTACAGGATGGACTTTGAGCAGATACGGGGGTACCTGGTGTCTCCAAGCACCAGAAGGCTCACCTGACCCCCACAGCCCTCCACGCATGGCAGCTGTAGAGTGTGGCGGCCAGCTGACAGATGACTACAGAGTTCCATCATTTCTCCCAAGCCATCAAGAGTGGTACTCACTTTTTTTAATCTCTTCTAGCTTCTCAATGTATTTGGTCATACTGTTACCTAGAAAGAGAAGACACGTCTTAGATATGCTTTACTGTTGGGAAATGGGTATCATCGTGAAATCAGGCTGAGAGTGAGCACCCCCAGTTCCTCTGTCCTGTCACCAGAGAACGCGGGACAACAGGCAAATGAGCCACGTGTGGTAAACAGCCCTGTAGATTATGCGGCATCAGCTAAAGAAACGAACCAGGGAAATGCTCTGGTCCAGGGTGTTAACTGCTCTGGTCCAGGCGTACTGTCCCAACCAGTGCCCAGTCTCAGGCAATACAGATGAGCGTTTACAGCCTTCATCCCCCTGTATTACCCTTTTAGAGTCAGAGGTTTCTTCCTCCTCATATCCCCCAAAGCCTTTTGTGGTTAGACATACAGGGGAAAACGAAGAAAGAAGCAATCATCATTGAGTGTCTAAAATCTGCCTCTGTGGCTGCCCAAGCAACTCTTTCCACTCCACTTTGTCTCTGTGGCTTCCCCTCCCCGCACCGTGTATTCCACTATTCATGCTGATGCTGCAGCCTGAACCAGACCACACAATCTGGGCACCAGTATCCACCACGGACTTGGTGTGCTGGTGTGCGCCACGGAGCACGCCCGGCCCTCGTGTTTTATGGTCTGGTTCTACAGTACTCAGCCCTAGCCAAGGTGGTTTGGAGCATTTTCATGCTTTAAAACCAGTCCATGATCATTTGGTTTCCAAATGAATTAAATTCTAGCTTTCAAGCCAGGGCTATTATTATTTTTTAAACTGAGTGTGCTGCAATTTGATTTGATTCAACATGGCAAGTTCTATCTTACACCTAAACATGGTAAAAGAAAAACATTAAAAATAATTTCTCATTTCTACAGTTTTGCTACTCTTTAGACCTTGAGATTCAGCCTGACTTCAGATCAAAGTAACGGTTTTAATGAATGACAGTAATTCTGAACTTTCTTCATGTTTGTGTCAGAGACTGAGAGAAAAAAAAGTCCCATTTTAAACCACCAAATGTATTTTCAAAATAAAACCATACTTAATTTGTTATTAAAAATTTACCATGAATTCAGCATAGAATAAACACTCGCTATTTTAGGTTTATTTTTAGTTATTATTGTTACTTTTGTCTGTTTTTATCTTAGGACACACACTATCAGGATAGGAAGGGTGCAGTGCACCCCTAAACTCAGATGGTATCCTTCCAGAATCTGAGAGAGAAATCGGGGCTGTTAAGGAGGCTTGAAGCCAGCTCAAGGGGCCCTGCCTATGTTTCAGAAGACCCTCCCAGGTCCCCAAGAAGCAGACAAGAGCCAAATACAATGTGTTTTAAGAGCTTTGGGTTTTTCTTTCTTGGGTCAAAGCTTTCTTCCTCCTTTTGTGGGGAGGATATACAGAGGGAGAGAAAGAAAGAGCCAATACTCCTTAAATGTCTAAAACAAGCCTTTGACCTGCAAACTGACCCAGGAATTCCACAGCAGAGACCATCAATTCTTCTGATCCCCACCCTCTCCCTACTGCAGCTCTGAGACAAGTGAGGACTTGCCAGTCAACAAACCGAGGTTTGCTGTTCAGCATCTTACAGACTTATTCTTAAAACACTCGACACACGAGCCCCAGTGACAGGTCCCTTCCTGTGTCTCCTATACCGTGTGTGGCTGGAGCGGCAGTTTCTTTAGGTTTCTTTAGGTTTAGGGGGAGCTTCAGGCGATTTAGTCAGAAGACTGGGAGGGAAAAAAAAGAACCCTCATCAATTTGCCCAGCAATGCAGCAGCTCACCAATTATTCGAGGATTAGCATTCCCACCCTCCCAGTTTCTAGTACGGTTCACAGAACCACCTGGCTTTTCCACTGCTGTTTTATTGTAACTGGTAGTGGAGACTGAGCCCCAGGCTTCCTGCATGCTATGCAAGGAGTCTACCTTAAGTGACAATCAAGTCCTCCTGTGGTTTGAAATGCTTTGTAACTTGTGTTCCTTCTTTGAGCACAGGATCATTTTGATGCTACAAATTTCCTGAGGAATGGAAAACAACAGCCAGCTCCACTGACTTAATCTCTTATTAAAATATTGTAGTCACAACTAATACTGTTTATATTAACAAAGTATCTAAAATTTATATATGAATGTTATATATGAATTTTTTTAAATTTCTGCAGTGCTGGGGATTGAATCTACGGCCACAGATGTACTAAGTAAGTGCTCTATCACTAAGCGATAGCCCGCCCTGAAAATTAATCTCTGCACTACCCACACTTCCTGTGGGTTTGCACAGCACCTTGTCTTATAGCAGCAGGCCTCCGGCAGAGCAAGGGCTTCGCCGCCACCTTTGCTTTTCATACTGAAGGCAGAAAACCAAAAACCTCTTGCGTTTGTTTCTACAAATACTTGGCAAAATTATGACCAAATCTAAGAGGATGAGTAACAAAAGGCTGTTTTCTTTATAGACATTCACTCTTCCCCCGGTATGGAGGAGAAAGAGCAGAGGGTGTCTACTCTGCTTCAGCTGCAGACGGAGACAATAGGAAGACTCCCCGGGCCCCTTGTAAATGGTTTGAATAAGTATGAAAAGTGACATTTTATCATGCATTTTATAGTGGTGTGTCAAATAGGGACTTTGTCTTAATACATCTAATTGCAACAAAATGACTGGAAATGGACAAACTTCATAGGCCATTTATATATAAGCATGTCTTTTTATACCAAAGTAGCCTGACAAGCTATCAGAGAGCTAATCTTTTAAGACTTTTTGAAATCCAGTATTATTGCCAAATTTTCCTAAATCAGACTAATTAAAAAACCAAATGAAGCAAAATAAAAGCTGAGCGGCTGTCCACTGCCCAATACTGGATTTGAGTTCCCAGCTCTAGGAGGGAAGATGCCAGCAGCTTGCTGACTTTCCATGGCTAACCTTGTGCTCTGCCAGCCTTCATTTTCTAGTTCCTGCACGGGCTTCCTCGCAGGAAGTGTGGCCTTTCCCTCCCCTCACTCCTACAGCAAGCAGCTTGCCTCTAACAAAGCATATATCACTGACTAGACTGCCTTATCTACCGTCTTCTACAGAAAGCCCAGGGCTATTTATCTGTGCACATCCACACATAAAATCTTTATTCCTCTGTTCTAGTGTAGGAGACACTAAAAAGACATTAGCTGGATAAACATACTACAAAACTCTACCATTTGAAAAGTCCTTAGAGAAAGTTATTTTGTAATGTAAATCATCACATGCTGATTTGCCTTGCGTTTCATATATATCCGATCTCCTGATTTCCTTTAGATGATGTGCAACTTTAATGATACACAATTACACGACAGAGTACACATAGGAGCCATCGACTTAGGCAGCCTAAAAGATGCCTAAGGTGATATTTAGTTTCTACCTTGTTTACCACTGAAGTTGCAATGAAAGATATCTAACAAGAGTTCTACAATTTGAATCAAGAGAAAGAAACAACTCAATTCTATCAGTAGCCCCGTGCAAAGACAGAGTACAATCGATTCACGGAGTGACTCACTGCTTTGATTTTTTCCCCCATTGTGTTCCTATAATTTAATAACGTTATTTGTACTGAGCATGTAACAAAAGCAAATGATTCTGAGCAGCAGTAATCTAGAGAGGGCAAGATTTATAAGGCAGGAATTCAGTTGCTAAGAGACAGCTCCACGGCTTTATTTTTTTCTTCAATATTTCCCTCCTCTATGGAGAAGTTCTTTTAGCTCAGAAGGAGCAGGAAGCGTGAAAAGAGGCACAGTGGTCCTTTGTTAACCCAGATCAGTTATACGTGGGTCTACAGCTTTCTGGTTTGTAAAAGCCTTTCACATACATTCCTTCCTTTGACGTAAAAGACAAATCAAATACCAAATGAAAATGAAGCGCACGTAGCCTGTAATGAGCTTGAGTGCTTAAGATCAAAACTATTAGTGAATCATCAGTGAAAAGAGTGACTAAGAGAGAGAAAGGAAGTGATGAGTTGTACAGATGTAACAAAAGGAAGGTGACATTCACAAAAATAAAGAAATCATGCTAGAAAAGACCAAGTGGAGGAGGGAAGCTAAAGAAACAAGAGTTAGACTGAAAATAGAAGGGAGACAACAATGCAGCGACCACGAGAGATGAGACTAGCCCAGGAAGAGCCGGGCAGTTTAGAGAGTGGCCCTAAGGAAGCAGAGCTGCAGAACAGAAACCCAGAGAGGGTGCTTGCAACACACAGGGTCCTGCTGCTGGGACTGAGCAAAGTAACTCGAAGCCAGCCCACTCCAGGCATATTCTGGCAATGGGAGGGGCTGAAGAGATATACCTAGGTACCTCTGAAACAAAGGAAATACTGAAAGTTCAGCATAGCCCTGTTGTCAGCCACAGCTGTACTGCAGGACGCAGGTCTCCTCGAGAACTGGAGTCAGGAGCAGAGACCAAACAGCCTCCTTCAGGAGGAAGAGGTCAGACTCCAGAAGATAAGAAAAGAATAAAGGCTCACCTAGTTAGCCTGGACATGGGAGCTGCCCACTCAGTCTGCCCTTTTCCACAGCTGTGGCTACAGAGCTTAAACACACACTGTGCTCAGTGAGCCCTTCTCCCTGTGCTCAGTGAGCCCTTCTCCCTGTGCTCAGTGAGCCCTTCTCCCTCTGCTCAGGTGAGCCCTTCTCCCTGTGCTCAGGTGAGCCCTTCTCCCTGTGCTCAGGTGAGCCCTTCTCCCTGTGCTCAGGTGAGCCCTTCTCCCTGTGCTCAGGTGAGCCCTTCTCCCTGTGCTCAGGTGAGCCCTTCTCCCTGTGCTCAGGTGAGCCCTTCTCCCTGTGCTCAGGTGAGCCCTTCTCCCTGTGCTCAGGTGAGCCCTTCTCCCTGTGCTCAGGTGAGCCCTTCTCCCTGCAGCTTGGGCTCTAAGGTTTCCTCTAGTGTTTTTTTAAGCAGGACTCCTCAACGTTTTCACCTACAGCAATGTTAACCTTTGGGCAAAATGATGCGTTTAGGGCTCCCATAGACCTTGAAAGCCCCCAAAGGCTGACAGGCTGTACATCTTAGCCTGTAACCCACAGGGTTTGAACATCAGGGAGCTAAGTCACAAAAATACATGTAAATGTAAACATTAAAGATCTCTCCCTGAAGTTGATTGATGGCTAAATGTGAAACACACACACAAGCCAAATGCTAGAAGAGGATTTTTCTCCCACACTGACTATAAAGTACTTGGGAGTTTGAAGCAATAAGGCACGCTTGGTTCTTCCAAAAGCTATTACAAAACTAGTTTGAAAGACTTTTGCTTCTAGGAAAGATGGGTAGATGTAATTTATTCCTCCAGCTAAGTCCCACAAAAACCCCAGACAAACCACAGCATAGGAACATACATCTGAAAATCATATTTCTGTTAAGAGTCTAGTATCCAGAATAAACAAAAGAACTTAAAATGTAGAAAAATAACCAGTTTTAAAATGAACAAATGATCCGAATAGACATTTTTCCATAGAAAATAAACAAGTGCCAATAAGCGCAAAAAAAAAGGCGTTCATCATCATCATTAGTCATTAGAAACATACAAATTAAAATCACAAGAAGATACTTCATGCCCATGATGGTGGACAAAGCAATGGTGAAGATGTGGAGGGGACACAGCCCTCTTGCATTGCGGATGGCAAGGTAAGCTGGTGTGGTTTGGTTAGAAAAGTTTGGCATGTTCTCAGAAAAAAAAAAGTATCGTATAACCAGTAATTCAAGTCCTCAATATCCAAGAGAACTAGAAACATATGTACAGAAAAACTTGTATATGTAATGTTCTTAGACATACCATGCCCAAAGAGTATAAGTAATCTAAATGTCCAGCAACTGCTGAGCAGAGAAGCAAACAGAATACTTGTACAATAGACCATCCCTTGGCAATAAGAAGGAATGAAGTACTGACATACGCTGTGGCATGGATAAACCTTGATACATTACACTATGTCAAAGGGAACAGACACAACAGGCCACATACAACTCCACGTACATGAATGGTCAGAATAGGCATATTCACAGAAACAGAAAAGACCAGTAGTTCTCAACATAGTCAAGATGTTCTCTACAAATTGATAAATAATTCCTATTAAAAACCAGCCTTTTTGCAGTGTGGTGGCGCACGCCTTTAATCCCAGCACTCGGCAGGCAGAGGCAGGTGGATCTCTGTATTCGAGGACAGTCTGGTCTACAAAGTGTTGCAGAACAGCTAGAGCTGTTACACAGAGAAACTCTGTCTCAAAAAACCCAAAACAAAACAAAATAAAACAAAAATCAGCCCTTTGACAAATGTAAAGAAAATTATTCTAAAATTTATATGGAAAAGCAAAGAAATTAGACTAGTTAATATAATTTTGTAAAGAAAACAGAATGGGAATAATGAGGCTAATCAATTCTAGCCACATTAATCAAGACTGTGGTATTGGCAAAAGGCTATACAGACAGATCACGGGGACAAAACACGGACCTGTAAATAAACCCGTATAAATATTCTCCTGACTGTTGACTCAGATGAAGATGCCAGAGCAGTCAGAGACCCTAAATTATGAAGCTAATCTTCATCTCAGTCAGCCCTCCCTACATGAAAGCAGTTCAAAATGTATCATGGACTTAAATGTAAAACCTAAAAACTTTAAGGAAAAAAAATTGTGACAGAAAGCGTCTCTGGGATATAGTTTAGGTCAGGAGTTCTTAAAGTGGATGATTGGAAATATGATTACTAAAAGGAAACAGATAAAAGCGAAACTCATTAAGATAAAAAGTTTTTTTTCTTCAAAGATTGCCAGGAGGAGGAAAAGACAAGCTACAGATGGAGAAAGGATACTTATAAACCATGCCTCTTGCAAAGGGTGAGTGTCTAGAATCCAGAAGAAACTGGAAATTCAATGGCAAAAATGCAAGTAACCTGGTCAGCATAGGCATTTCAGCCAAGCAGGCAGACAGAAAAGAAGCACATGCAAACAAAAGAGCCCTCATTTGCTAGCCGGTGAGTGTAACTGTAATGCTATACTACCACTACAAACCTTATCAGTTCGGGAAAAGTAAAAGATGGCGCCGCCGCCAAATACAGGTGAAGATGTGGAGAAAATGGTCATGTATCTCCTACTGGTGGGAATGTTAAATGGTATAGCCACTTTGGAAAATAGTTTGACAGTTTCTTACAACCAGGAGGCAAAGGCAGGAAAATCAGGAGTTCAAGGCCCGTCTTGGTTATAAAAGGAGTCTGCGGCTAGTCTGGGCCACATGAGACTCTGTCTCAAAAAGAGACAAAACAAACCGACTCAAACCAAACTATAAACTATGACCTAGCAATTTCCCTAAGCAAAAAAAAAAAAAAAAAAAAAATCACTAAGACTTGCTCATACACAAAAATAACCTGTAAATGAATGCCTACAACACTTTATTTTTTATTTTATTTTTGTTTTGTAACTATCCCCCAATTGGAAACAGTGCTAATTTCCTTCAACTAGCAAGTGATTAAGCCAAGTACAGCCATACCAGGGAATACTAGGCAATAACACAAAGAACACACTGCTGCTACCCACAACTAACTTGAAGCTCCAGAGAATTCTGCCCAGTGAAAAATATCCACCCAGGCTGGACACGCATGGCTCTGTGGTAGAGCAGCAGTGTAGCAAGTGTAAGGCCCCGTGTTTACTCTCCCCTCCCCCGCCAGGGATCAGCACGGATAAAAGCAAGGAAAAGAAACAGAAGACTAGCAGAGCACAATCCGCAATGCTGCACGCCGTACAGCTCCACAGATGTAGCGCTCAGAAAAGACAATGACAGGATGACAGACTGGAAAAATTAGCAGTTGTGAAGATTAGAGAGGGATGGGAGTGGGAAGGAGGCAGGGCTACTAAAGGACCACATGGGAATCTTTGTGAGGACGGCAGTAGCCCATAGCCTGGCTGCACATGTCGATGCTGTTATCACCATAGCAATAGTGCAGGCGGGGAGAAACTAGCAAAGAGTATGCAGAATTTCCATCTTGTTTCTTACAAATGCATCTGCATCCACAATTATTTCAAAATAAAAAGCTTAATTAACAAAAAGCAATTTAAAACTCATGGGATATAAAAGAATTCTGGCATTTAATATGCACGACAAAATCAGATGCTATGTATTACATTAAAAATTTAAATTAATTTCAGATGCCATTATTCAGTCAAATTTTTGTTATGGATTAAACTGAAGAGATAGACAGGGGTGGTTCAAATTCCTACTTTTTTCCATGAGAAAAACTTTATGAAGGTATAGATAAATCTAGATATCCGAAATAAACCTGGGCTCTTAAATTTTGCTTATTTATTGTGGTACAAGAAATAGAACCCAAGGCCTAGCAAATGCTAGACCTGCACTCTACCACTGAGCTATACTCCCATTCCTTTAAAAGACAAAATTTTAATTTCTAGTAATGGGTAGACCGCTGTGAGTTCAAGGCTCGTTTGTCTGATCTACATGGCCTGTTCCAAGACACTCAGGGATCCGTAGCACAAAAACGTACAGAGGTAAAAAGATTTTGACTGAAATTCATTTATTTACAGTGGTTTTTAACAAAAGAGACGAGCCCCTTACAACACTATAGCACTGTGAGTCTTCCAGAAAGATGGATGACTTGCTATTGAGGGGAAGCTGGAGTTGTTGAGGATACTGTGGCAGAAGAAACACTGGGGGTGGGGGTAGGGGTGGTACACAGGACAAAAAGTCTAAGAGCCAGACCATCAGGCTTGGGACCCACTCTCCAGTGCTGACTTCCTCACCCTGTCAAAGACCCTAGCTTTTATCTCCTTCACTGAAATCTGAGTAAATTACAAAATCTCCAGGTCATGATTTTCTCCTCTGGAACAGTAATAACATTTTCATTTGCCTAACACACAAAATATTTGCAATAATAAATATCCGTGTAGCATGGAGATGCATCAAAGAAATAGTACATGCAAATCTGGTACTGAAAACATTTGTATCTATGCTAGTTAGGAAATGCAAAATGGAAGAGCATGATTCTGAAGGCGACTGGAGAAAGGGAAGAAGATTTAGACGGAGGGGACCACCCCCTTCACTCTCCTCAGGTGGCTTCAGACACCGCAGAGAAATTCTGAACTGCGAGGGAAAGGCTGAAGAGAACAGAAACAAGCAACTCAAACCTCACAAGACTGCAGAGCCACTGAGATCTGGGCATCAGCATCAGCAGAACTCGGGAGAGATTCGGACAGTATGGAAATTAGCAAGGTTCTCTTGCAACTGCTTTCACCTAGGGGCAGCTCTAATTCACTCTCGGCTGGCATTTTAGTTCCTCTCAAGCCAGTCAGCCTCCACTTGAGTCTCGGTGCTCTAATTGCAAAAGCCACAACCCACAGCCATCCTCCTATCTAGCGGAGTCCACACTTTTACATGCAGTCAGCACTGTGCAAACACGGGACTGAACAAACACGCACATGTATAATCTATTGCTGTCAGTTTGATGGAGTACACTTAAGGTGCTCCAAAATGGGACTGTGACCTCCTGGTATTTACTCAGCATCAGGCCTGTAACTTATTCAACATTGGCTTCCATTCTGATGATTTCCTTTTCTTGATTTAGATGATTTTAATGGGGTAAGCAACAATAACTGAAATTACGTGAGTGCGAAATTTTACTGGTAACAAGAAAAACAGCTTTCAAGACATCAGGCAAGACAATAAGAAACTTCCAGCTATGGTTGACCCCAGTTTGATGGGCTCTTTCCTGTCTATCAATAGCTATTAGATTTTTACAATTCTGTTTCTGATTGTGACTTACCAGTATCCAGTCTTGACTTGATATGTTGATACCTTGGGTTCTGTGGTATCCGCCTGGTCAGGTACTACAACAGAAGACAATTCACAAGGAAGGGGTTACCATGAGGGCTGTGGTGGGAAGAGGAACACACGCTGAAATTTCAGGTTCTAGTGACAAACGAGGTTCAGAGGGTCAGAGCCCTTACAGAAAGGGCTCGCAGTACATTTCCTCCAGTGGAGGTAGTTACCTTGTTCCTATTAAAACATTTCCACATTTTATCAAAATAATCTCAGAGTGCTGTGTGCTAAGGAAAAAAAATACCTTAGGAAGGTTATCTTCCAATGAAGTACTATGCAGTTCCCTTTTTAATGTCATTCCTTTTATGACGGCTTCAGGGCCATCTCCTCTGGACACTCCTAGATCTTATCCACAGCTCCCTACAGTGTGGCAGGCGGGATCCAGATGCTCCAGATGCTGGCAGGCTCTCTGGGGCTCCACAGATGTCACTGCCATGGCATCTGCTCTGTGGCAGCTGAGGCTCATGTGGGCTCGGGGTGAGCTTACGGTCGGCAGAGATGTCCAGGTCAGATTTGCGTGTGTTGTGCTATGTTCTGGTAGTTAACCCTTGGAATCCAAGTGCAGACAATCCCCCATAGTAAATCCCCAAGGTGAACGCAGAAGCCAGTAAGGAAGGGCAAGCTCAGAATAAAGAGCGTCTGCGCTGACCTGTTTCTAGTCTACGGATATGAAAAGCATGTGTTCTGGACAGGGACCCTCTGACCTTCATCTCCTGCACCCAATCCCATGTTGCATGGGTGGGGACTGTCCCTCCTAACATCACCAGCTCAGGCAGATAACTGCCAAGAGTGCTTTTCCTCAACTTCTCTTTGGCAAAACTTTTGTCTACCCTGAAGCTGCCTGAGGCAGAAAGAGACACTCTCCTCCTGGCCTGCAGAATATGGAACCCCATCCCATCCTCCACAATTAGATCTTCTCCTCTAGTTTGGGATTTTCCTGAAGACAGGGACAATGCATTGCTCATGTTTGTGGGACCCAGTACATGCTAAGTTGCTAATTATGTGTCTGAGGACTGAACTATACTACCTACTCCTAAGGGAGAAAGTCAAACTTAGAAAGACTGGATCACTTGCCTTAGCTAACAGCGAGGGACAAGCATGCTGTTGGGAGGGACTATGAAATAAATCACACCTTTCAGAATGGCCTACAAAGCACAGAAACAGCCTAGCATTTCTATGATTTATGCAATCAGAGACCAAGAAGAATTTTTAAAAACTGAGGGCAGTATGACCAGAGCGATGACTTGGTGGGTAAAGGTGCTTTCTACCAACCCCGACAACCTGCATTCATCCCTAAGACCCACATGGCAGAAGGAGAGGACCAACTCCGGAAGGTTGTCCTATGGCCTTAACACTACATGCACCCATCTGTGCACATACACAGTGAAATTAAAAAAACAACAACAACAAAACAAAACTGGGGGTACCTACAGAGAATTATCCATTTTAATTTTTAAAAATTTTGCCAAGTAAGTACATAAAATCCTCACAACTTCCACTTGCCATTTTATTTTTTAGGTAAGTATATTTGTTTTTTAATTAAATTAATTTTTAAATGGCATAATACATAATCTATCTGCTATTTTTTTTTTAACACTGAGGATCAAACCCAGGGCCTCTCATATGCTAGGCAACCAAACTATACCACTATACACCAGCCCCACCATCTGCTATTTCAATTACCTAAAAGGTTAAAAAAAAAAAAAAAAAAAAAAGAGCCCTCAGGGTAAAAAGGTCAGTTCCTTCATGTTATTAAAAAGCCAATGACGTTGTCTGTGTTTTTCATTTCACACCAGGCAAGTAAAACCTTTATTATGAACACTGAGCACGGATCCGCTGCTAGTGTTTGCAATCACTGAGCTGACTGAGCCCCAGAAATATGGTGGAAAACTGGCTTCCTGTTGTGACCAGTGATGGCTGCCTAGAAGAGCAAGGGACAAGGCCAGCTCCAACACCTTCCCTAGATGAAGACGGAGACAGTTCTTAAGAGAAAGAACAGCACGCAGACACAGAGAGAAACTGGAGGCCAAGTTCCCAGAGGCAGACAATATCATGAAAAATTAAACAGGGAAGCAAGTCCAGCACACACACACACACACACACACACACACACACACACACACACACGTCTCACTTATCTTCAGCTTCAGCTGAGGGACTTTTCCCCCAAGTCTATATTTTTATCATTTCTATACCCTATTTCCTGTTTTTACTTTTGTTTTGTTTCCTAGCAAAGCTTCTTTTGAAAAATTTCAGGCTAGTCTCTGCCGAACCATGGACATTTGTCCATCCCTCGGCCACATAGCTGAGCCGTGAGGGTGCCTCAGGGGACCAGGTGTGGCGGCAGCAGAATGGTGAGGGAGGGAGTGTGGGCAGCTGCAGCTGCGGAGGCCTCCCCACCCCCGGTTTTCCCTTACATGGACTAATGAGAAATCCATATGCCGCTGGAGAAAAATGTCAGATTTCTTTCCCAAGTTCTCATTTCTGTTCCATTTCTTAGTCCGTTCTAGGACCTGCATGGACAGTAAGCTCTGTGTGCTACATTGCCAGCGGAGTGCCTTAGGATCTGAGGAAGAGCTACACTTTCTTCCTGAAAACTCCTGCTTTGGGGATGGCTGCCTCTTGACCTACTGACCAACTGGCTTTGTTTCCATGATATACACAGGCTGGAATGGTGGGAAGTGGAAGGCCTGTGACAAGAAGCCGGTTAAAGAGAGACTGTTCATTCCTTCTACAAACACTTAGTGAGTGCCATTCATTCCAGGGACATTTATTACTGAGGTCCTGGCAGACCGCAGGTCCCTCTGAGGAATGCAGAGATAAAAACAGGCCTGGCCATCACCCCTTGCTCCCTGCGGCTATTTGGTGTCAGTGTGACAAGGAGAGGGAACGGAGGGGGATGGGACACGTGAGACTAGTACCTTAACAAGGCCAAGAGTCAAGAAGTGCTGCTGAGAGTGCTGAGTTCTGAGGGTTATGGTGGGTAATGAAAACAGTGGCGTGTGGGCACTAGAGGCCCCAATAATAGAGAAGCCCAGGGGAAACGTGAGGACAGAGTGTAGGTGACATCTCAAGAAAGCTAGTCAACACTGGAAGGCATGGAGTACTGGGGACTCTGAGAGAACAAATGGCACTGGAGAGGCAGGGTGGGGGCAGATCACAGAGGACCTTCTATCGAGAAAACCTAAGGCACTTTGCCTCCTGTCCTGTCAATCAGTGGTTTCCAATAGGTGTGATTTTGCCAGCTCTGTGCCCAGGGACATTTATCAAGGTCTGGAGACATTTGGGTTGTTACAACTGAGTCGTGGTGGTGGTGTGTTGCTGGTGTTTCTTAGGAAAAGGCAAGAGAGACTGGGTAACATCCTATGACAAGAGCCAGCCCAGATGTCGACAGTACGGAGCTTGAGAAGCCCAAGAGGAGAGGACTGGGAGTCAGTGACGGTTTGGGGAGGCGTGGTGAGAGCTCATTTACATTTTGGGATGATCTATCTGCACAATATTGAGAATATGATCATAGTCAAGAGAAGAGGCACAAAAATCAGCCTAGAAGCTCATGCTAAGGGGACAGAAAGCCTTATAAAAGTGGCAGCACAGAGGAGGAGAAGGAGGTTTCGAGAAATCTCTGCAATGTGAAGCTGGGGTTGTAGCTCTGCCTAGTGCCTGCCCCTCCATCTTTAACATGTAAAATCAACATGGCTACTCATGGACCACCATAAAAAAAGAGGGCAGTAGCACTCTAACCCTCAGAAAAAGTAGTGAAAGGAGAAGCATATATGGAAAAACATTACGTAGGAAGTTTGGGGACATATTAAGCAGGGATGTTTGTAGGTTATCAAAAATAGAAGTGTCCAGCTGACAATATGGACAGCAAGATCAGGAGAAAACTAGGTTAAAAAACAATTTGGGAATTATTCATATATAGGCTATGAAGCCAGGGGGACTGTCTAAAATCATTCTGAAACAGTTTGCACTAGGAAGACATTTCCCAACCTTGGCAGTCAGGTGGGGAAGAGCCCTGGCTGGGATGCAGGAGAGGCCAAAGGAAGGAGATTACAAAAACTAGGAGAAAAGATTTACAGGAAGAAGGAAGGAGTCAACATGGAACAAGGCTGTCAAATCCAAGAACAAGAGGCCAAGCAAGAACAGACAAACAAGAATCCAGGTCAATTAACAGAACAGAAAAGTAAATTTGGATTTACAAATCAGGACATTGTTGATGGGGCTAGATGGAAGCAATTATAGGAGAGTAAGAAGGGCAGAAGCAGAAACAATAGGTAAATGTATGGGGGTGGGGAAGGAGACTTGTCAAGGTAAACTCTCTCTTTCCTTTCCCTTTTCCTCTCCCTGCCTCTCTCCTCTCTGTGGTGCTGTTTTTATGTATTTGGGGGGGGGGGGGGTAAAGGAGAGATTTAAGGATGTGTACAGACAAATGGGCAGAGGCCCAGAGTTCACGTGGAAGGGGCAGCTTTTGATACATATTTAAAATAAATATTTAAAAAATCCATAGTTATAATAAAGCTCATCATGAGCGGGCAGGAAGTTGAGAAAGTTGGTGTTTGTAAATTACTACAGGCTTTTTGGAAATGGCCAGCTGTGTCCAAGACACTTTAAGGTGAACTATCTTAGTCACTTTCCTGTGGCTCTGACGAACACCATGACCACAGAGCAACCCCACGAGGGAAGGCTTCATTTGGCTCTATGTCCTGATATAGTCCATCTTGGGAAAGGGACTCCACCCTGAACACCATTCAGGACCTGTCAGAGAACCTTGTGCTAACAAAGCAGCAGGAAGTGTTTGCCAGATACACTGAAACTGGGCACAGTGGCAGATACCTGCAACCCAGCTCCTTTGGAGGGTTGGGGGGAAGATGTGAGTTCTAGGACAACTTGTAAGAACCCAACTCAATACACACATGCTAACACACATACAAAAACAGAAACCAAACAAACAAACATGAAGGCCCATGCACACTCTGTAAGAACCCAACTCAATACACACATGCTAACA